TGTGTTCTCCTGAAATTCTTTAAGAGTGTTATTTATGTCCTTCTTAAAGTCCTCTATCATCATCATTAGAAGTGATTTTAAATCTGAATCTTGCTTTCCTGGTGATATGGGGAATTCAGGACTTTCTAGTGTGGGAGAACTAGGTTCTAATGATGCAGAGTACTCTGGGTTGCTGATGCTTATGTTCTTGTGCTTGCCTTTTGCCATCTGGATCACCTTAGTGCTACCTGCCCTATCTCTTACTGGAGCCTGTCTTTTCCTATTATCTTGGTTATTTCAGAACTGTGTGGGGTGGGTATTACTACTGAGGTTAGAGCTGGGGCCTAAGATCTGCTCAGTGCTCAGGTCCAGACCGGAAGGAACCAGTGCTCTGTGCCAGGAGTGAATTCCTGGGTCCTAGTGAGTCCCAGTTACTCCCCGTTTGGTGGGGGGGGGGGTTGTTGCTGTCTCCTTACCTAAGATACTGCCCAGGTTAGAGTTCCTGGGAGGCCCACTTCCTCTGGGTTTTGTGAGATTGTGTGCAAAGCTGCCACCAAGGATCTGCTCGGTGCTTGGGCCCACACTGGAAGGCTCATCCCTGAATTTGATTAGTTTTTAACCTTTTACTCCTTTTTCCTAGAGCTTTCAGGTGGACTTTTAGTTTATTGATATGAGAAATTATTTTTTAGTTTCTTTATGGAAGCACTTAGTTCTATGAACTTTTCTTTCAGCACTGCTTTCACTGTGTCCCAAAAATTTGGGTATATTGTGCTTTCATTTTCATTGAATTCTAGACATTCTTTAATTTCTTTCTTATTTCTCTATTGACCCAGAGATCATTGAGAAGAGAACTGTTCAGTTTCCAAGAGTGTGTAGACTTCCTGGTCTTTCTGTTGTTGTTGAAGTCCAGCTTTAATCCATGGTGGTCTGATACAATACAAGGCATTATTTGTTGTAGCTCTTGAAACTTGCTTTGTGACCTACTATATGGTCAATTTTGGAGAAAGATTCATGAGGTGCTGAGAAGGATATATATTCTTTTGCATTTGGTTGAAATATTCTATAGATGTCTGTTAGGTCCATTTGATTCATAATGTCTGTTAGTTTCATTATTTCTCTCTTTAGTTTTCATCCGGATGACCTTTTAGTTGTTGAGAATGGAGTGCTGAAGCCTCCCACCATTAATGTCTCTGCTTCAAGGTGTGATTTAGGCTTTAATAATGTTTAGCAATGTTTTTTCTACAAATTCAGGTGCCCTTGTGTTTGGGCCATAGCTATTCAGAATTAAGATATCATCTTGGTAGGTTTTTCCTTTGATGAGTATGGTGTCCTTCTGTGTCTCTTTTGATTAATTTTGGTTGAAAGTCTATTTTATTAGATATTAGAATGGCAGCAACAGATTGTTTCTTTTGGTTGGAAAAAAATTTCCAACCCTTTACTCTAAGATAATGTTTATCTTTATTGCTGAGGTGTGTTTCTTCTATGCAATAGAATAATGGATCCTGTTTTCACATCCATTCTGTTAGCCTGTGTCTTTTTATTGGGGAACTGAGTCCATTGATGTTGAGAGATATTAATTAACCAATGATTGCTTTGCTAATTCCCATTATTGTAATGTTGGTGGTATTAGTGTGTGTGTGTGTGTGTGTGTGTGTGTGTGTGTGCTTCTCTTATTTTTGTTGGTATGGAATTACTTCTTTTCTTTGTTTCCTTGAATGTAGTTATTCTTCTTGGGTTGGAGTTTTCTTTCTATTATTTTCTGTAGGGCTGAATGTGTGAATAGATATTGTTTGAATTTGGATTTATTTGTTTTGAAATATCTTGTTTTCTCCATCTATGATGATTAAGAGTTTTGCTGGGTCTAGGTTGGCATCTGTAGTTTCTTTTTTAAAGGTTGCAAGATATCTGTCCAGGCTCTTCTAGCTTTTAGAGTCTATGTTGAGAAGTTGGATGACCAACTTCAATGATAGACTTTTGTATGTTACCTGGCCTTTTCCCCTTTCTTATTTTAATATTTTTCTTTATTCTGTAAATTTTGTGTTTTCATTATTATATGGCAGGGGAATTTTGTTGGTTTTTTAGGGGGGAGGGTTCGGTCTAATTGGTGTTCTACGAGCTCCTTGTATGTTTATAGGTAACTCTTTCTTTTTGTTGAGGAAGTTTTTTTCCAAAATTTTATTGAAAATATTTTCTGGGCCTTGGAGCTGGGACTTTTAAACTTCTGTTCCTATTGTTCTTAGGTTAAGTCTTTTAATGGTACCTCAGATTTCCTAAATGCTTTGGGGCAGGAACTTTTTAGATTTAACATTTTCTTTAACTGATGTATCAATGTCTTCTATTGTATCTTCTATACCTAAGATTCTGTCTTCCATCACCTATATTCTATTGTTGATGTGTGCATCTGTTGTTCCTGTTTTCTTCCCTAGGTTTTCCATCTCCAGAATTCCCTCAGTTTGTGTTCTCTTTATTGCTTTTATTTATACTTTCAGGTCTTGCACAGTTTTATTTATTTCCTTTATCTGTTTAATCGGATTTAAGGGATTTATTCATTTCTTCTTTAAAGATCTCTATCATATCTACAAGTAAGGTCATTTTCTTGTGCTTGGATTGTGTTAGGATATCCAGGGCTTGTTGTAGTAGGATAGCTGTGCCCTGGATGTGTCATATTGCACTGGCTTTTGTTGATTGTGTTCTCTTGAGGGCCATTAGCCATTTGAGTGTGTTTGGTCTCTGGATTTTCCTGTTGTAGTAGGTATGGGGTGGGGGGGGGGAGTAACCCCTCAATGTTCGTGGTATGGCAGGCCTCTTCTGTGTACCCTTGGGCTGTATGGTTCCTGATCAGCAGGACTGATGAAGTTGGGCCAAGAGGTGGTGGGAGAATGGAAGTGTGCCAAGAATATGCAGACTGCTCAGGACAGCTTGCGGTGCCCCAGAGGACTCAGTGGGCAGGGAAGATGGGTGAGGGAAGGGAGTCTAACATGTATGGTTCAGGATCCACAGGTCCAATGAAGGATGGGAGAATGAAGTCCACTGAGGATTCCTAGATGAACTTTCCTAACTCCCTCCATTAACCAGTGAAATTTGTAATTTCATTTTTTAGCATCTGAATAATAATTCCATTGTGTAAATGGACCACATTTTTTTTATTCATTCTTCACTTGACAGACATCTAGGCCATTTTCAATTTCAGGCTACTATGAATAGAGCACATGGATAAGCAAGTGTCTCTGTAGTAGGGTGTAGGGTTCTTTGTGTGCATGCCCAAGTTTAATATAGACGAATCTCAAGGTAGATCTTTTCCTAGCTTCCTGAGAAATTGTGGCTGTGCAAGTTTCACTCCCATTGGCAATGAATACGTGTTCGCCTTTTCCCACATCCTCACCAACATGAGCTGTATAATAGGAACATTTTCTCAGTTAAGAGTCTCTCTTTCCAGCACGAAATAGGTCAGTGAAGGCCCTAAGAAAAATCAGAGAGAGAAAGACAGATGAATGCTAGTACAAGAATTGGTTTTCAGCCTCTCCAAGGTTGTCAACCCTATTTCCTTCCATCTTGGGACCATTATTTGGGTTCTTTTTGCTTTTTTCTGCTGGTCCCTGGCCAGCGAACTAACTCTGTGATACAACAGATAAATAATGTGGTAGCAAAACCTATTCAGATACATTATCATAAGTTAGCTATGGAGGACCACGAGACTCAAGATGAGGTTGTTATTTTATACAGGGTGTTTCCAAAACCCATCTCCACCCAACCTAAAAGGGGGAACTTCTGCCCCTAGACCAAGCAAAGAGGGGCCACCCAGAACCCCCTCTGACAGGCGATCTGAATTCTTGCTTAGGCTTCGAGGCTAAGCACTGCAAGGGAATATAAATAAAAGATAAAAATATCTCTCTGGGTTCCCTGAGGGACAAACCTGACTGCATAGGGGTTGATGTCAAAAGTATCCCCTCTCCAGGAAAAAGACATCGGGACGGGTATGGCCCTCATGCCTCACTGGACAACGACAGGGGGACTGGAGCCATTACAAGGTCTCCTTCAAGTACTGGAGGTCAGGCTTCTATCCCCACATTCGCAAGATTAGAATTGCCACAGCCCTTCTATACTTAGAGAAGGGAAGAGATGTCAGGGTCAGCCCTGCTTATACACTGAAGGCCTAAAATCACCCATAGGCCTAAAATCAGCAATAGGCCTGTCATACATGTATACTAACACCAAGTCTTAGGTCTCAGTGGAAAAACATTGAAATAAATGGCTATAAGCTAATATAAACAGGCAGCTTTTGTGGAAATTTACAAGCCTGAGTAGTCATTGACCTTGGAAATAGGTAGCCTGGGCAGACAATAACAACTTAGATAAGGACAAGCGAGTCATAGGCAGAGTCATAGTGACTTGTCCCCTGAACCTCACCCAGCTGATATCCGGTTCTGATGATATCTGTATTCCCCCTGAACACACACCATGCTCCAGTGTCATTCCCTTCCCCCACATCCTGCCTTTCTGTGTTTATAACCCCTGAGTGAATGAATTATGATTTGAGAAAAAATAAATTATTTAAAAAAAATCTCTCTTTCCAAATGACTCTACCCTGCATCAAACTGACATACAAATAATCAGAACAGTTTACCCCAGCCAACTTCATAGACACTCTACTATTAAACCATAACCTCCTCCTTCTTGCTCATCCCTGTTATCTCATTATTCATATTATAATATAAAACTTTAAAAAAATCTCACAGTCTTTGTAAATTCAAACACTTAAATGTTAAGGTTTTTAAAATATCTAAGGTCTCTCTAAAATTCCAAAATCTCTTAATTATGGTTTCCTGAAAAAATCAAATATAAGTTTAATATTTTCTTATTCCAAGAGGGATAAGTCAGGGCACAGTCACAGTCAGATCAAAGCAAAACCAAAATCCATCAGTGTGAAGCTCATTGTCATGTTTCTGTGACTTACAGTCTTCTTGTCTGTTTTGTCACACACAAACAGTATCTTATAGGCTCAATCTGACTTCATTACACAGATCCTGCCTTTGTCATTATACCACGGTACTAGCATCTCCAAAATGTTGGAGTCTCTACTGAAGCTGAACTGCACCTTCTGGGCTTTCTTTGGGGAATCTCATCCTGCCATTTTGTGCCAAGCCTCAGCAGCCTGAACACAATGAGATACCCAGCCCAATCTTACCCTCTGCTCATCCCCAAGGTGACTCACTGAGATGAAAGACAGAAAGTGGGTATGATTCTTTAATTTTCTAGTTTTACAGTCTTAACAATATGAGGAAACAATAATGCTTGAGCTGTTCTGGAAGATTGTGGTTCTGCTAGTTTCTGAATGTGCTTAACATGAATGAATTTGTCTTTTACAAGGAGAACAAGAGTTGCATTCTGGAATTGACAACTCATGGCACACACTGTTAGAGAATGCTGGTTGGCACTTATCTTTTTGTTGATGTGGCTGTTGATTAAAGCAAATATAGGTAAGATATAACCTAGTCTGTCAAAGAAATTGCAGTTTAAATTCTGAGGTACAAACAACTCACGAATTGTGGTAAGTGTTCTAAGTAGATTTTGTAGTCAGTCTTTTACCATTTAATGGATAAACCTGGCTTTGTAGTATTACCTTATTTAGTTTGATAATTAATATAAATACATAATCATGCATTTACTCTTAAGAAACTTGCCTATGAAACATGAAGCATAACGGATGCATGTTTTATATTAAGGTGCACTTTAGAACCAGAAGACTTGCAGGTAAAAGCACTTGCCGTGCAAATCTAACCACTTGAATTTGATCCTGTAAACCCACATACTCTAACCTCCATAAAATTTCTGTGGCACATGTGCACACACATAAATAATAAATAAAATTAAAATCTAATTCCTGAAGCCCCATTTCAGCCTCCCAAGTACTTGGATTATAGAACCATACCTGGGTTCTGATTTTCATCCATAACTCCAATTCAAAACACTCCTGAGCCTTTTGAGTATTTATATTTCTTATAAAATGATGTTGCCAGCTATACATAATACAAATGATATATTAAGAGAAGAAAATATTTCTAGATATGCTTCTAAATTCTTGTAAAATTGTCTTTTTCTTAATATATTTATTAAAATAAGCATTTTAAATCACAAAGGTGATGGTAAACATGTGATTTATTCTGGGAAGCTCTCCTTAAATGGTTTGGTATAAAAATGCTATGAAAGCAAAAAGGAGGAGGGGGGATGGGATAGGGGGTTCTAGGGATGGGAAATGGGGAAAGGGAATGACATCTGAAATGTAAATAAATAAAATATCTAATAAAAAAGTGGTTTGGTATGAAATCCACATCTGAAAAGGTCCCAGAAGAGATTTGGAACTGCATTCCAGAATGTTCTTTCAATGCTGTTTTCTTCCTACTTTCCTCTTGTGATTATAATTATAGCATGGATGTTTTGAGAAGAACATATATTTAATTAAAATATACTTCAGTATGACTGTCTCCCATTCTCCAGCATCACCAATGCTACTGGAGCAATGTACATTATTAGTAGTTCTATAATCTGATGAGTTTTAATTTTACCCTGCTTGGGGGATTGAACAAACTTTCCCTCTAAAATAGATGTCCTCTTTCCAGCTGAGTTTTGCATTTGTCTCTTCCTACAGATGTGTGTAAGCTTGGCACCGTGACTGTCCAGCCTGCCCCCGTGATCCCACTTGGATCAGCTGCCAATATTTCCTGCTCTTTGAATCCCAAACAACGCTGTTCAAATCATCCCAGTTCTAACAAATTAACCCTCTTAAAGTTTGTCAATGATGTCCATGTCGAAAATCTCCATGGCAAAAAAGTCCATGACCACTCTGGTCACTCCTCCACATTTCAAGTCACCAACCTGTCCCTTGGTATGACCTTGTTTGTCTGCAAGCTAAACTGTAGCAACTCTCAAAAGATGCAACCAGTACCAGTGTGTGGGGTGGAGATCTCAGTTGGTGGTGAGCATTCCTTTCTGAACTCTTAGGAAGTGTCTGTGTGTGTGTGTGTGTGTGTGTGTGTGTGTGTGTGTGTGTGTGTGT